TCCGACCCTTAATCTATGAATCTATGAATCTATGAAGGTCTATTCTAAATTATGCTGGCTTTAATGAAGTGTGGAAGCTCTTATACTTTCTAGGGCAGGTACAGTACAATCACAACATATTCTCAGCCACACCTCCTTCCAAACCTGCTACACTAAGGCAGCTTTAGCACAGCCAGAGAATCTGCAGCTACCACCTCTAAAAGATTTCCAAGGTCTTTGTGTTGCAGGAGTGACACAAATGGGCTCAGACAAGGATCAAGCTTTCTTATATAAGGGTAAATTATGGCACAGAGGAGACCTTTTTCAGAGATACCAAGTGCAACTGATGAAATGAGGATCTCTATTGTTACTGTATGGATGGTTAACAACATAAGTGCCATAGTGGGATATATCCATGGTCCACATGGCCCAGCATCCTGTCTCAGACAATGGCAGAAGTCGATGCTTTAGAGAGAGAGAACTGACTCAGATCTGTCTAGAGTGATCTATCCCCTATTCATCACTCTTCTCATCCACCAATATTGGTTTAGAAAAGCCATAGGGAACATTTCCAACTATTTAGTTTAAGAGCTATTAATAGAAATCATTACAATCAGAGAGAAGTAAGGCTGGAAGGGACCTCCAGAGTCATCTAGTGCAACACCCTGCCTAAGGAAGGATGATCCATTTTTGAAACTTTTTTAATATAAAGTTTTTGAAAGACTACTGTCAACCCCAACGCAACACAAGACATAATACTGTAACTTGCCATAGGTAAACCAGGGGAACCACAGCACCCAATATCCTGCTTCTGTAAAAGGTTCTTAATATACATTCAAGAAATCCTAGGTAGGCCACCCATCCCCCACCCTCCTACAGAGGAAGGCAAACCCCCCCACAGTCCATACCAATTTGACCATAGAGTAAAATTCCTTTCTGACCCCAAATATAGCAATCAGTCTGACCCTGAGCAGAGAGGCAAGACCCTTTAGGCAGGAGCCTCTAATTTTCATCCCAGCAGGAACAATGACACATGTCAGTCAAAATCCCCAGCCTTGGCTTCAGCCAATACCCAATGCCTCTAAGAGAGGCTTAAAAACATCCTAACATGTAGCAGAAATGGGGGGCAGGGATAACCAGCAACGCTCAGAAGCACCTAAAATACCCATAGTAGAACATAGGCATAGCTATATCAAATCATCCCCAACCAGTGGCTGTCCAACCTCTCCTTGAACACCGCCTGTGATGGAGTGTCCACAACTTTCCTAGGCAGTCTATTCCACTGCCTTGCTATGCCTCACAAACTGAAGAAGCTTTTCCTGATGTCCAACCTAAACCTACTTCACTGCAAATTCAAGCTATTACTAATAGACCTATTCTCCTTGAGTTTGTCTAATCCATTTTAGAATTTGGCTAAGCTATCTGCTTCTACCACCTGTGCAATGATTTCCACAAGTTAACTATGAGTTGCATAAAAATACTTCCTCATGTTAGGTTTAAACGCGCCTCCTACTGCGTATTCTGCATCTCAGTGAACAACAATTTCTTGTTCACTTTGTCCCCATTCTTCATGATTTTATAGGCTGTTATCATATCCTCCATCAGCCTGCTCCTTCCCAAACGAAAGAGTCTTAGCCTTCTTAGTTTCTCCTGGTATGGCAGCTGCTTCATAACCCTGAGCATTTTGGCTGCCCTTCTGTTCTTTTTCCAATTCTACTACATCCCTGCTACATTTTTTTTTTGAGAGTCAAAGATCAGAACTGTACACAGTATTCAAGATGTGGGCATACTATGCATTTGTGTAATAGTATGATAAGAAAACTCTGAATTACTATATCTGACAAACAAAATATAAGGAGACGCTACATGGATTGCATGAGAGCAGAAAATTAGCTTTTGAGTTTAACTATTTCAAGATAAAATTGAAAAATCATACATTTAGTTATTATAACATTGCTGTTAATATTTTTCAAGTAATAGTTATATTGGCAATATAATGTGAATCCATCTGGTTTCTCCAGAACCGCTATTGTGAGACTTACCTTGCTACATGATTAATTACGGGAGCAAAATTTGTTGGTCCATAAAGCTGTACAGATTTTAGACTCCTGTAATATGCTTCCATCACACCATCAATTCCATGACAGTAGGGATTTTGAGGGTTTCCATTCTAAACAAAACCAAGGAAAATTTGAAAAGATGAATAACTGAAATACTATGAAGCAAATATCACATAAGCAGTATCAGACAATTCAGCGAAAGGGTTAAGACAGTATTTAACTGAACTGTTTGTGCATCTGAGACATTAAACCAATAGGTAATCATATTATGATCCATGCTTCAGAGTATTTTGTTACTTAATTTCTTATTTAAAAAAATAAGGAAAAATATGATTGCCATATCCTGATGTATGGATAAAGTGCTAGCTGAAATGCTTGTTCAGTATTCTGCTCTGAATGAGCAAACTGATCCTGAGTCTGGTTGGACTTAACACAAAGATGACAAAAGGGACCTGTGGTTTCACTATACTGAACTGGTTGGGTCTTCTTGCTCATACAACTCTAAGCTCTATGAACAGTTTTTTTTACATGTCTCTAACCCAGTCCAATGAGGTGCCAATTTAATATTGTATTACAGATAAATAAATAAAACCCCAGGTCAAGGTTCCAGATCAAACTTCAAGTCTAGCAGTTACAGGATATTTTATTTTACTTGCAAACTAGAGTTGATTTTACTAGTTGGTGTTTCGATTACTTACAGTCCTCGGTCAAGATGGTAAAGCAGTACTACTGCCAAACAACTGGTCCAGGATTCAAAAAGGGATTTATATGATGTAGTTGTGTTTTAAGTCAAGTTTGATATTTCTTTCCCCTAATGTATGATTTCACAAAGTCCTATCTCAGAGTTTCAGTGCAGCTCTATGTATTCAAGCACTTTTATCAGAATGGACAGCAAAAGACAGCAACATCTGCCGTTTTGAACAAGATGTACATTTTAATGTTTAGATCCTACCTAAAGGCATTTGGCATTCACAAACTAGTCATTGTGTTCCTAAATCTCCAGAGAAGCTCTATCCAGGTGATACAGTCAGCACACTCCTAACAGAAGGAGAGGGCCCACCTGGCTTTTCATATTGTGTAGTATAGGGGTACACACACACACACACTCACTCACTCACTCACTCACTCACTCACTCACTCACTCACTCTATTGTAAATCCTGAAGGATATGAAATGAAATGTATCTGATTTAAGCAAAGAATTTATATACTTGCTGGATGTAGAGGAACTATAAAGTATTGTGCATTTCATTCTTTTGAAGCTATTTTTGCACTCTAGAGATGCTGTAATTTACATGACATAAAGAAGAAAAAGCATATTGAACATTATAAACTAACCTGCAACAGCATTAAAGTATTAAAATAAACTGAATTAAAGGGAAAATCTTAATTGAATAATAAGGTCAAATACAAAAACAGAATTCTGGAAATGATTAAAACAAAAAAAAAAACAAAAAAACCCTTTAAAGACCTCCAGTGCTATCCAAAAAATCCTTAATGCCACTGAGAAAGTAGCTGAACTTCAGAAATGCTAACAGACACTTGGAGCAGCCATCTGGACAGTCTCTCTCTCCTCCAGGGTTACCAAAGGTAGTGTAAATACATTTGAGATTGTATTTTGTTATGTTTTATCTTTAAGGTAAAAAATTGAAAGCTCCTTTATTGAGTCTGCACTTTTTCCAGTGATACCTCAAGGAACTACATTTTGGCATTTTAAATAAATAATGCTGCACATATGTTTCTCTTGGTTACCACCGAGTAAAGTGGCCTAAAAGAAATCTCAAAGAAAAACTTCTGAGTAATTAATTGCTTTGGATATTTAAACGAGTCCTTTTCAAGACAAACTAAAAATAGCAGGAAGATATTAATAGGGCTGCCTCAAAAAATCTACTACTTACTCTTTGGGGAATTATTTAAAGTGTGAATAATGCATTAGAAATATAGAAAAAATATAATAATGACAAACAAATGTAATAGGGATTTTTAGCGATTTCATTGTGCTATTTAATGACTGTTTGCCCTAATACTGTCCTAGGTCAGTTGCTTTCAAGACTTTGCTATATTCAGTACATGCATGGAACATCTGTTGTCAAATCTAATTTATAAAACTTTAAACTGTTGTTTGTGTGTGGTTCTTGGAAAACTGACAACCAAGGATATGTCTGCATTGCATTTAGGGTGTGTAATTGCAGCTGATGTAAGGAAACCTAATACTATCTTTAATCTAGCTAACAATAGGAAGACATACCAGCATGGACTTCAGCTAGGAATCACAGTATATATCCACTCACTGGCAGATAAGTATAGCCCACGGTGAGGCCATGTCACCTTACTTTCCTGCTGCAGAGTAACTAGATTAAAGCTAATGTGAGCATGCCTACCACATGCTGTAATCACACCTTCAACTGCAGTCTAAGCATATACTGAAGGCAGAATCCTAAATTGCAACTACGCAGCTGCAAAAGTGCCATTACGTATGCATACATGGCTACTAACCATGCTCAGTAGGCTGTACTCTGGGGAGGTATGTGGTGCTATACACTTGCCACAATATACACATAAGGTTAGGCAACTGCAATATTGTAGTTGCGCTAATACTGGAGGGGAGAAGGAAAGGGACCCTCCCATGTTTTAGCACAGGAATTAGAGCAATTATCCAGGGAAAAGGAGCCAGAGATACCAGACCTCCTCCCCCAGGGGAAGTTTGAATCTGCACCTTATGCTTTTTAGCGTAATTCTTTAATCATCAAGCCACATCTTAGGTATTATGTAGGGCCCTCTCCCACCTCCTATTAAAGCTGGCCCTATGAGCAGGCAAGAGAGGACACAGGTATAGCCAAGAAAGGGAACATGGCAGAGACTCAGTGGCTGCATCTGCATGAGGCACTGACTGTGCAGTTGCTACTGTGCAGTCATTTAGTACTTGCATACCCAACTACTAAATGACTGAGTGGTAACCAGCATTTCTGAGCAGCAGTGTCCCCACATGGCTTCTTGGTGATGCCAACTACAGAGTAGCTCATTACTACTTTGCAGTAGCATTGTGTCATGATTCGTGCCACACAATGCTACTCAATAAGCGTCTCATGTAGACATGGCCAATGAGATGCTTGATTTCCTGGATGGGATGCAGTTCTGGATTATAGCTTGGGTCCTTGTTCCTAGTGGGACAAACTTTTGCAGTGCTGTTTATCCTTTTTACCCAATGAATAATAAATGCAAGGTGCAGTCTCTCAGCTTCAAAAGAACAGCTGGAAACAGGACGAGCCTGTAGCCTGGTGGTTAGAGCATTGGGCTCAGAAGCAGAACAGGGGAGACCCCTACATAGGCAGGCAATTCTGTTTTGCCAGTAGGCATAAGAGAATCCAAAACTATCTGTAAGTCCCAAAAATAGCAGTTATGTGGCTGGGTAACTGCCATTTAGACACATAAAACTGGAACCTGCCCTAAGTTTACTGATTTGAAAAGTGCTGCCCAGGGGGAAAAAATGACCCAACAAGAAACTAGTATTAAAATCTATTAGCTAAAGCTCTCTGGACTACATAAAATGCAGTCAGTTTTATTACATTCCACTCAAACACAGTATCAGGTAAATGTGCAAATTTAAAAATCTAGCCAGCAGCATGGCAATTTATAAATTTGGTTCATTCATTTTCTCTTACATCCTATTCAATTATTTCTAGGGCCATTTAGTCTAGTCTGATGTGATCACCTGTCATAATAGAGACACTTGGCTCCTCCCAAGTTGGAGAGAAGAAGAAAGGTGAAGCGTGTAGGATCTGTTTGGAGTTCAGCCCAAGCAGCATATCCTCAGTTCAGTATATCCTCAAAGTGGAGGCCTGGAAGCACATCACCTGTGACTCAAGCTGCTGCAGCTAAGTCCAGGGAAGATTCCCTTTCCTTGCTTTTTTGTATTTAAACAACCATGGCTATCTGGCTGCCTGTCAATAACTTGGTGAGGAAGAGGACTCCTAGAGCCGTCTCCTTTGGATCGTGAAAGTTGATTTCCTCCTGAAAGCTAATTGTTCCAGCAGCTGATATATTTTCTGCTGTTTCATTGCCTATATGTTCCAACTATAAAAATATACCGCAGACAAAACTCCAAACTCATTACAGCAGCGATATCAAACTCACCAGGCCCTGTGGGCCACAAGTGGTGCAGGACTTGATTGGGCCCACAGACAGGCCCCATGCAGCACATGCCTTGAACTGGCCCAGTTCACTATGTGTTGTGCATGGGACTGAGGCTAACTGAGGGACACCACATGCGGTATACAAGTCCAATCCAAACCCACAGATAGCACCATAGGCCATGTTATAAGGCTCCATATATATCTTTGACATCCCTGTGTTACAGTACTCAAAATTTACCATATTAAAAAGAATTCATATATACAAAACTACAAAAACAATCTTCGTTAGACACAGGGACCCTCTACATGTAAAGGGCAGGTCTATTGCCCGATTCAAACGATTGCGCTTCCTGCTATGCCATATGTGCATGGCAGGAGGTATAATTGTGTGCTCATTTATTAGAACCCATCATGCCTTATTGCTGGTGCAGGAAGAGCTTGATTCTGGGCTCCCCCTCTGCCAGCAAGAAGCAAACTTCTGCATCTGGAAGCCCCCTCACACCCCTTGCCCCCTGACTTGCAGAGGCTTCAGCCACGGTGCCACCCCATGTACCCCACTCCACATATACCTACAGGTAAAGCCCCCAGGGCTGGAAGATCATGGCTGTTGTGAATTCCCACCCTCTGGGGCATGTGAAACCAGCAGGAGCAATCTCACAGCCCCCAGGGGCTCCATAAACGGCTCGGTCCCGGCATTGGGAAGTATGCTGCTGGTACTCCATATCTGCAGCTGCAGGGCTCTAGGTCCTTACAGCTGGAGGGTGCTGCCAGGACTCAGAGTCAGCAGCTGCTGGGGCTGAAAGTCCCCTTAATTGTAGGACACCCAGCTTGGACTGAGCATGGTGCACCCCTGCTGCTGGGAGCCTTGTCAGCTGATGGGGCTCCCAACTACAGGGGAAACCCTTCTACATGTGCAAATGAAAGCTCAATAGCAACCAGTTATAAAGTTAGTACACATTTTCCAGGTCTAACTTTATAGCAGGTTGAATTGTTTTATGGCATAATAAACACTGCATGTGTACCTGGTCTCAAGGTAACTGTGCAAGAACCAGTTAACTGTGTGATACCTGTAATGTGTAGAGGGGGCTATAGTAGAATAGTTATAAAAATGTTTAATTCCTATGTATTTTCTTACCAGAGCAAATTCATGGGATACCCTTCCATCTGGAGGCAGCCTAGCCCCAAAACCAAGAGCTGGAAACATTTTGTCAGTATCGTAGTCTTGAATGATTTCACCTACTGCCTTCAGTGCCATGCCATAGGCATTCAGTTGGTATGGGTTCATATAGTGCAGTGAAGTGGGCTGTGAAGGGTTACCTGTTGAAACAAAGATCTCATTTACCTTACTACCAATCCAGCTGGGAATGCAATTCAACAGAACAATAGTTTCCACATGTCAACAGCCCTTCCTGGGGAGAAAAGGTAGGTACTTCCAATAGACATGTAAGATGGAATTGGTCAGTCTTGATTGGTTGGGTCCCAATAGAGCTTACTGCTTAAGAAGGCATTTTATCTTTGAAAGCTCCAGGACAAGGAGCAACAATCCCCAGGTTGAAGTGAGAAAGCGGTAAGGCACTGGATCTCTCTCACTAAACATACCATACATTGCAAAGTATGAGACAAGGGATGTTCTCTAGGACATGTAAGGGAGAGAAGTAATAGTCTGCTGGAATCCAGTTCAATGTTTGTATATTAAAAGTTTAAGTCAAATAATATTATTTAGACAAACTGGCATGTAACCTACTGTATGAATCACTGATTTTATTTATTTATTTATTTATTTATTTATTTATATTTATTTATTTATTTATTTTTTTACAGACTATCCTATTTTGGTATGGTTTAATGATTTTATTCAAACTGTTTGACAGCACTAGTTCAAGTAAAAGGATCAAGTATTTGGTTACTTACTTACTTTTCATATGTATATTGCTCAAAAAAAATATGATCATTTTACATACTGGACACTGAAGTCAGGTTAAAACTAATAAAATCAAATTAAGCAAAGTGTGACTTTAAACATGTATCCTATGTCTCCTGAGCAACAATTAAGTAGAACACTGTAATTCATGAGATTAATTATATAGACTTACGAATAAAGAAGGGAGCAAAGGGGGCTAATATTCAGTTATGACTAAAAATGCAGGGGAAACATGCCACTCTTCAATGGCACCAGGATCCACACAGTTTCTCCTCTCTGCCCCAGCAGCTTATTTCTTCCAAGCTTCAGTGGTTGAGAAGAGTCACCAACTGACTCAGTCAGCAAGCAGCTGTAACATGGACCTTCAGCCATTGAAAGCATCATCAGCGTTTGACTGCTTAATACAGAATCAATCTTGAAAATTCTCTTCTGCTTGGCAGTTTCCTCCATCCCACTCCTCTCAGGAATCTTTCACTTCAGACTCGTTCAACCTAGAATTACATCCTTCTGTTCTCTCCCTCCCAGCTATACTCCACCAAAATGATTAAAAAAGAAACCCAAAATCAATTGCACAAATACAGAATTACAGCTTGTCACACTGAACACTTTGCTTGTGAATTATCGGTCTTCCTCCCAATACTTTGTCTTGTCTATTTAGAATATAGGCTTTTCAGGGCAGGAACTCTCTCACTCTGTTCAGTGCCTTGCACAACTGAGCTCTGATCACAACTGATGCCAGCAGGCACTGCAGGATTATGACTAATGATCCATTAAGCTACAAAATAAATGTATATAAATATGTACACAGTACTCAAAAACATGCTCTCAAACTAAATATCACACCTTATTTTACAAGAAGCTACATTTGAAAACTTACCATTTGAGGCTGTGAAATCAATAGCTACTGTGAAATTGATTTGGGTCCTGTAAAACAACCAACCAAAAAAAAACCTTGTTAATTTTAATTTCTGTGAACAAATAAACAGAAAGATAATATACGTTAGCGGATATTAGTGGACTAATATACAATGTTTCTGGGGGGGGAAAAGTATCAATCCAAAATTCAAATTCAATTCCCTGTACATTTGTTTGTCTTTTAAACAGCAACTGAATATTTATTATTATTTAAGGATCCTGTTTTTACCTATAAATTACAAAGTCTCCCCTCCCACCACATAGGTAGCTGGATTATCACACTAGAAGGATTTTTAGTTGGAAAATCTCTTCCACCAAGGCTTCGGTTGAAACTAACCATTTAATTTTACACCATTAACTCCATATACCATATACTGTGTATGGCTCTCACTTGCTCTTTGTTCCTGTAATAGGGTGGGGGCTCACAATGATTAAAAGGCCTCAATTCAAATCACTGAACTAGGCAGAACATGTAATTGCAACATTTGAGATGGCATTTGCATATACACTGCAACGCTTGAAGAGTGCATGAAGAGAACATCAGGTGATTTCCTGACTAGAACAGAGGACAGTTTCTTTTGTCTAGGAGAGTCCTAAAGTCAAATGAACATTCACTGTTATGGAACAAAGCATTAACATGAATGTGCATGCCATTTCAGTATCAATTATGATCAGTTTTCTCAGGCACTGTGGAACTTCCATTTTAAAAAAATTTCTCTGGGACTTACAGTAACAATGAAAAAGAAATCTGAAGGCAAACTTCTGAGTATTAAGAAAATTGCTTAAGAGTCTCAGCAGCTCCTAGAAAGTTCATTGAAATGGAACTGAGCATGTATAACTGACAGTATAACATAGTCAATCTAACTTTCATTAGTGGCAATTACAACATATAGAAAGAATTCAGCTTGAAATTCAAAGGCTAGGGGCCCACATTTACAACAAAAATCATCATTCTGCTTGCACACTGAACAGATAGAAATCACTGAGAAATGGTAACTATTGAAGCTTATCACATCATTTTACAATAATGAACTGCCAATTAGAATGGATAACAGAATCTACTGACTTTAAAAAAATTAAGAAAAGGTCTGACCAAGCTGCAATTCCAAGAGGTTCTAGTTTCTTGAAATGGACCAATAATTTCTCTACTCTCTTATAAGATTACTAGTAAATTGCCCATAACCCGCACCACTGCCACCTCCACGGAGCAGGGCTGGGGGTGAAGGGCTGGGGCAGCGGTGCCGGCTTCACCCCCCACACTCCGTCTTCACCATTGTGGTGGTGCTCCACCCCTGCCTCCTGTCCATCACGCTCTTGGAACACTCTGATTGGTTGTTTCAGTAGCCAATCAGAGTGCTCCAGGAGTGGTACAGACGGACAGACAGACAGACGGACTAAGCCCTTTATTATATTAGAATGCATGCTAATATCTGACACCACTAATAAACTGCCAAATATCTGTTACTACATTCAACACTGTCATTTGATATGTACCAACTGCAACAAAGAGAGGAAATAAGATGGAGCCTCATGGCCCCTTGCTTTCATCATTGTTCCAAACTTTGCCCCATATGTATTCGAGTCACTACTCAAGGAAGTTTTCCCTTTTTATTTAAAAACTCAAACTGTGCAATCACAGAGCTTTGAACTAGAATATGTTTGGAGCAGGGTTGACTATGAAGCCTTGGGACAGCAGACCTATAAGCTTTTGGAGAAAGGGGATACTGACAGAGAGGGTTAACTCTTAAAGTGAACAATCCTTCATAGCCAGCTTGAAAGGATGGTTGTGGAAAGGAAGTTGTGGAAGAAGAAAGGAGAAAGGAAGGAAGTTGTGGAATATATGGAAAGAAGGCAGTTGTGGAAAGGAAGTTGTGGAAGAAGACAGACTGAAGGACAGGAAGACAAGGAGACAGAAGTAAATAAACCAGTATCCCTATACAATAGTTCAGGAAAACTACAAATAATCTAGTTTCTGGTGCTGTGCAAATGGTTTTTAGATGAGTATCTTCTTGAAACATTAACAGATCACACAGAGACCAAATCTGATTGAATTAAATACTGCTGAGGGATCAATGTCAGGGACGTAGTGGAGGTATCCACTGAGATGGTTCCAGATTCCAAGCAGGTTAAAGTGCTTGCATTAGCTTGAAGATAGCCTTCTGCACAGATAACCAAATGCATCACATCCCTTCTCATGTTCCTGATCCTCAGTATAGCTGGACTGCTATGAGACTGCACATATTAGGATTATATGAAAGCAGAACTGGAAGGAACCTCACAAGGTCATCTAATCCAGCCTCCTGCTCAAAGCAGGATCAGCATCGACTAAACCATCCCAGCCAAGTATCTATCTAACCTGCTTTTGAGTTTCCAGGGATGGAGATTCTTCAAGTTCTCTAGGAAGCTTGTTCCAGTGCTTGACTACCTTTATAACTGGAGAGTCCTTTCTAATCTCCATTTTAAGTTTCCCCTACTGCATCTTAAAGCCACTACAACTAGTTCTGTCTGATTTGGCCATAGAAAAATCCATCTCCATTTTCTCTATGATCACCCTTCAAGTAATTGAAGACTGCATCAAATCCCTCTTCAGGCTCTCTTCTCAAGACTAAATAATTCTAGCTCTTTCAGCTTTTCCTCATAAGTCTTGCCTCCCTGTCCCTTAATCATGTTTCTTGCTCAGTGCTGGACTCTTTCCAAACTATCCACATTCTTTTTGCAGCGTGGGGCCCACAACTGGACAAAGTACTCCAGGTGAGGCCTCATCAGTGTCAAATAGAGTGGAAGAATCATTTCCCTTGATTTGCGCATGACCTTCCTGTTATCACAACCAAGTATGAAGTTGTCCGTTTTTTTTTTCTTTTTTCTTTTGCAACAAGAGCATTCTGTTGTCTCATATTTAGCTTGTGGTTCACTGTAACCCCAGATCCTTCTCTGCAGTATTGAAGCTTAGGCAATCCCCTTCCCCAGACTGCATTTGTTCATGCGGTTATTCCATCCCAAGTGCATGACTTTACACTTGTCCTTTATCCAGTCTATTCAAGTCATTATGGCTCCTCGCCCTGCCCTCCACAGTGTCTGCAACTCTCCCCCACTTTGTTGTCAGTCATTAATTTACTGAGTGTGCAATCAATCCCCACTGTCCAAATAATTAACAAAGATGCTGAACAATACTGGACCCAGGACAGACCCTGGGAAACCCCATTTGAATCTTTCTCTGAGCTGGACACTGAGCCAGTGATTACATGTTGAGCGCAGCAATCTTACCAGTTATATATCTGTGTTACAGTACTTTCATCTAGTTTATATTTCGTCATAGTCAAAAAGCTCCTCCTAATCTCCAGCCTAACTTTCCTCCGCTACAGCTTGAGGCCATTGCTCTCATCCTGTCTGACCATTGAGAAATACCTGTCTCCAGCCTCTCTATAATTGCTCTTGAAGGATTAAAATTAAGTCTTCAAATACTTCCTCAGTCTCTTCTTTTCCAAACTAACTAACCATAGCTCTTTCAGCCTTTCCACATAAGTCTTGCTTCCCAGGTCCCTAATAATTTTTGTTGCTCTGTGCTGGACTCTTTCCATTCACTTCCCCTGATCTACAAATAACACTCTTGTTAATACAATCTAGTATGTTGTTGGCTTTTTTTTCCTTTTTCCTTTCTTTCCTTTTTCCTTTTTTTTAATATTTTTTTTCCTGCAACAAGAGCACACCGTTGACTCATATTCAGGTTACAGCCCATTATAACCCCCACATCTCTCTAAAGTACTGCAACCTAGGCAATTGTTCACGAGTCTGTATTTGTGTGTGTAATTATTCCATCCCAAGTGAATTTGTCCTTGTTGAAGCTCATCTTCCAGTCTATCCAGATCATTCTGAATCATAGCCCTACCCTCCACAATGTCTGCAATGCTACCCAACTTGGTACCATCAGCAAATTTCTTAAATGTGCACTCAATCCCATGATCCAAATTATTAATGAAGGTGCTGAACAAAAAGGGACCCAGAACAGGCCCCTGGGGAACCTCCACTTGATTCCTCCTCCCAACTAGACATTGTGCCATTGGTGACTACTTGCTGAGCCTGATGATCCGGCTACTTGTGCGTCCACCTTTCAGTACTTTAATCTACTCTATTTCCTTAGCTTGTTAATGACAACATCATGGGAAGCCATGTGAAAAGCCTTGCTAAAGTCAAGGTATATCACATTTACTGTTCTACCCCCTCAACAGAGCCTATCACCTTGTCACTGAAGGAAATCAGGTTGGCATGACTTGTTCTTGTTGTATCCATAGCTGGCTATTCCCGATCATCTTGTTCTCCTCTTGTTGCTTTACAACAGATTCCTTGAAGACCTGCTCCATGACCTTTCTGGGTATTGAGGTCAGGCTGACTGGTATTCAATTCCCCAGATCCTCCTTCTTCTCTTTCTTAAAGATGGGCACTATATTTGCCCTTTTCCAATGATCTGGGATGTCACCCATCCTCCATGAGCTCTCAAAGATTATAACCAAAGGCTCTGAAATTACCTCAGCCAATTCCTTCAGTACCCAACTTGAAGCTTTTAAAGTAATCTTTAACCTGTTCTTTCACTGCTCTAGGCCTTTTTTTTTTTAATCCTTCCCCATCTCTGCTGCCAACTACATTTATCATCTGGTAGCTGCCCCTATTTGTGAAGACTGAAGTTAAAAAAGATATTACCTTCTCTGCTTCATCCCTAACTAGATTGCCTTCTGCATTCCTTAGTCTCACAGAAAATGCTGGACATGGCAGGTTGCTCTTGGGAGCTGATCATTTCAGTTACTTGAACAGGTAACTACTGAGATGACATTTTTTATTTAAGTATTATATGTATAGTAGGTTTTCACAGCATGGAAGTCTATGGCTTTCACCCACGAAGAAAAGTTTGCCCCAACCTGTGATCATTTGACATCAAAAACAAATTTCATGAGATTAGTGACCAAAACATAGAAATCCTAGTTATCCTTTAATATTCATCTTGGTTTACTTTAAAG